TGCTTTAAAAAAAATATCAAAAACATTTAAAAAAAAGTAATACTGCAATTTGAAATTTAAGAAAAAATCCTTTAATTTAAGACACCTTGTATAACTTTAAAATACCTAGTCATCGCAGATCCTTAGAAGGAAGTCTTCTAAAAATGTGTTTAAAATCTGATCAAGTCTTTACTGCCAGCAGTGGAAGACCATATTTATTAAGAACATCATTTCGCGTAAAAAAATATATAATCTCAATTTCTGTCTAAACTACACAAAATTCGAATAAGTAGTTCCTATAAAAGTTACCTTTATTTTCAAGAATTCTAAAAATATCAAAATATATAGGGTGTTCCATTTAAAATTCAAAACTAATGTCGGTCCAGCACTTGTCTGTATATAGAAAAAATAAATAAATTTAAAATTTAATTTAAACCATAGAATTTTTGTTTAAACTTTTTCTTTTCTAAAATCAGGAGTTCCTAAGACAAGGTGCCCAATCTGCTCATATACATATCTGGGAGGAGAGTTAACGAGCGATCGAAATTTGAAAAGGAGAAGCGCAAATAATGAAAGCTTCTCGTATTTCTGGATGCGTACAAGATATTACTGAGAGGAAAGCAAGGATATATAAAAGCGCAGCAAAGATCATGCAAATAATGAAAACAGTAAGATGAATGTTAGGATAATCACTACACGAAATACAAAATGAAATCCACAATATTAGAATAAATTCCAGAATAATCGCCTCAACAGAATCAACGACAACAAATTGCCAAAATTGGACACAATTGTGTTTAGGATAAACAGGCGAGACCGTGTCATAAGGGAAGCCGCATTGAAAGGAGAAGCAGCAGGAGATGAAGAATACTAATTATGCCAAATCACTTTCAAAGTAGATGAATGTTAGATACACTACATACCTATACAAATTTGTACAATAACAGTTCACAATAATGCTCGATTTAGTTTAAGTTTTATTTCTAAATAAAAATAAATTATGTATAATTCCTAATCAAATTTTTGAACTACCAGTGCGTAAAGTTCCCAACATATTATAAAAACTCTATCGAAGTGGATCTCTCCCGATAAGAAATCCCACCAAATTAAACACTCATAACTTTCTTATATGAAAAATTGATGATTTTTTTACATATACCATTAACTCATATCAATGGTTATAATAATAAATATGTGGCGCCAGTTTTTAAAACTTTTCCATTTAATTTTGCGCTTCTTCTAGAATATCTTCTCATATAATAGCGTTCCAAGATAAATCGACCACCAAGATATTTGTTGATAATAACTACAGCTAACGATAAATTAGTCTCAGTTAAATTCTTTCTGTCACAATTCTAATCTACCAAAAAAAGTCATCATAGGTTAAATTAAAAACAGATAAATGTTACCCTCAGAAGTTAACTATAATTTATTATCTGCTTTGTGGGACATATAGTATATTTCTATAGATTTTATTGTAGCTATTTTCTTTAGTTTTTTGAACCTTTGTTATTAACTTGCGCGTATGTATGTGTTTTACTTTGTTTTGTTTTTATATTGTATTTTAAGCAGTGTGTTATATTAATTGTTTTATTTATTTAATTAATTTTATTAAGTTAATTATTTTATCCGATAAGTATTTACTTAACTATCTGGTTTATAAAAAGCAGTTTTGGCTATCAAACAGAATTTTGTGTTAATACTATAATTTTTTCCGCAACATACGCGATATAAAATATTCATGCCATAAATTAATATTTGTTGAGCTATAAATATTAAAACGCTACTTTGTATAGAAATACAGTTACCTTATTGCTAAAGAAACTTTTCCACAATTAAAAACAGTAAACAAAACGAATGTAGGTTATTTACACTCAATTTCCTCACATGGAGTTGGTTAACGATTATTCTCTGGAAAATTCCGTATTTAGCGTGGACTAATAATGGTCGTAAGTGGGTCTTTCTAGTCTTTTGTGAAAAAATTCCAGAAAAGAGCAAACGCATATGTAAAAATTTATAAAAAGATTAATTTCATGTGGACAAATAATTTAGGGATAAAAAAGATCAAGGTAGTATTTATTTAAAGAGAAGAAGTGGACCTTAACTGTTGAAGGAAGTCATCGCTAGATACCCTTGTCTCAGCAAATTTTAAATTCAAATTTTATTAATAACATTATCAATGCGGATATGACTGAAGTCTAAGTTGTCCATTATTCCGCCTCATCGTTAGATGCTGCTGTCTATGCAATTATCCTATCCCGGCTCTGCGTTAAAACACCCCCTTTTCACTTACTACGCCCCTTTGCATTGATCGACCCGGTTTCCAGACTATAGCGGCCTATTTTATTTTCTGCCCCAAAACAAATCAACGTGGGATGCAATAGGGTGTAGGGTCGGGGGTAGGAAAGTAATGCAGCGTTGCCGAAAGCATATATATCGTGCGTCTCCGCCATTGTTTGTGTTATCTGCTCTAGGTACCAGCGCGTTCTTCTTGGAAAATAAGAAGTAAATCGAAAACAAGCTCTAGAAAGGCCTTTTCTAAATTGCTTTTTAGATGGTAAATATGTCATCGAATTTGATTCGTGGTATTTTGCACAAAGCTTTAAGGCTTAAAAATGATTTGTAAGCGTTTGCGAAAAGCTCTGTGTTTCAAAAGAGACGAAACGTAAAGTTCTACAAAAATAATGATTTTAGTTCTTATATAGCACAAAATACTGAAAATATCTAAAAGAATTGTTTCGTGAATTGGCCATGTATGATGCAAAGCGCTTTTTTAAAACCACTCTGAAAACCAAGTGGTTGGTTAGTTCGAGATTATTTACAAATATTGCTTTTTTATTGTATCAAAATTCAGCAGTTCACCTAGCATTTCTCGCAATTAAATTATAACAAAGATGTTTTAATATAATTTTACAAATCAAATCCTGATTTTCAATCTTATATTCAAATAATTCAATAGCGATTTACGCTAGGTGGGTCATCTAGTGGCAATAATGATATTCAGGTTATTCGAGAGGCTATTCATTTCGAGGCACCGTTTTGCGATGTTTGGCATGTTGTAGTAATTCGTTACTAGATGGCGCGTCTGCACCTCAATATTAAAAAAGCGCTTCCTTTATAGATTTCATGATTTTCAATGAATTATTAAGATAGGATAATAATTAATAATTTTTTTCATATATTTCATGATTTTGAGACTTTCATTGCATTATGTACGTTGAGCTGCCCAAAATCTTTTTTATTTTCTGTTTACTAAAAAATGAAATTATTCTTGCTAAAGACGATAAAATAAAAAATAAATTTTACAACATTTTGGCAGGCCCAACAAACCTAATGAAATCGAAATCTCAAAATTGGGTATAGAAAATTTGATAAAATATTTTAGACGACAAATTCACACCGCTCATAAAAAATTGGACGGTTATAGTATATTATTTGGATGCTTATTAATTTATTATCCAATTCATTTTATTATTATCCAAATAACTTTTAAGGCATTATTGAATAAAATGTCAAATAAAAAAGTTTAACAAATGTTGATTCCACTTGATGAGGCAGAGTGCGAGAGATCTAGATTGATTGTATTTTTAAGAACGTTTTCCAAAAAATAATTCGCAAAGCTTAGACCACTGGTCGTTAGATGGCAACATTACTTTTAAGCTTAATAACAGGATTAGCTGAAAGTGCTTGAAAATCGACTTATGGTATATCGTTTTTATTTAACTAATGAATTTTTAGCTATTAAGTAAAACCAAAAATGTTATATTCCAGTTTTGGGGAGTAGAGTGCATAAAATTTTCAGTTTCTCAGGGGAGATTGTTAACTGCAATTATAATTATTAGTAAAGAATCCTTTCGATTAAGGGGAGAGCAAAAATGTCATTATTGTACTGAAGAATTGGGCCACCGATCGCTAGATGGCAATAAACAGCTTCTGGGAGGACTTCTGCGATGCATATTATTTTGTCTGTTCAAATGAGAATGAGTTACCGCCATTCGTCATGCAAAGATGGCGCTCCAATTTTACATTTTTCAATTTTGTAGGAGACCGATAAAAGTTAGTGCAATACTGTCGCATCGTGTTATAAAATTTCGTAGAATTTCGGATATGCATTAAATGCATTTTTTTGTTAAATTCATTAAATTATTTGATTTAATTAAGTGGGAATAGTAGATCCCACATTTTTCACAAAGTCCTCAAACAAACCCTATATAAGTGGTTTATCGCTAATGGGGTAGATATGGAATGTGTTCAACAGATGCAATCCTAAAGATGCAGCTGTTTTTGTCAGGGTACCTACCTCACTGAATGGTTGGTTGATTTTTACATATTTATTTTATGAAAATAAAGCAAAAATATTTCTTAGAATTTTAGTCATTTAATTAGGTATATTTTTATTACCATTCTCGGGTAATTGTCAAACGAGTATGTTTTTTGAAGTATCGAATTTCATAGAGTATCTAGCAATTTGATATCTCAATAATTATGTGTGTGTCGTTTTTAAACAAAAATGCTGACTATGTCGTAGCTATTTTAGTCCGCCACCTGATATAAACATTTTTAAAAGTGAACATTTAACCAATAAAAAACAAATAAAAAGTCGACTAGAGGTCCCCTGTAACAGGAAACGGCAGCGAGGACTTAACTGCAATTGCCTACACGTACGTCCCCAATTTGACCTTTTAAACAACCGGTATCGTTGCTCTTTGTGTTGATTTGCCATTATTCCCGAATATTCGCGTAAGTATGAAAATTCGACACTGCAATTGTACGTGCAACAACACGATGAAGTTCTGTTTATGTACTAGTCCGCATTTTTACCGCAAAAATAAGCGGAATGGCATAAAAACCTTTTTAAACTTGGTATCGGCACAGCCGGCGTGCGACGGAGACGCAAATAGAGAAAGCATGTCGTTGCTTGGGCCTCATCGATCGTTACAGCTGATTTTGACACGGCTGTTGCCAGGCCGAGGGTTTATAAAGTGTAAAACGGTACGCGATTGGTTGCAAGAGAAGCCAGTGTTGGGGATTGCCGGTCGATCAGCTGATGGTTTGAAGCGAGTTCTTTGTTAGCCGGCAAACAGTGAAGCGGCTCAGGCGATTTGGCCGTCATCGCTGTTGAGGTGAGGAGCTGATAATGACGAGAGGGCTGTGAATTTTTGACAAGAATCTCCCGAGACGACCGAAAAATGTTTCGAAGCAGTTTTCAAGAGGAGAGGGTCGTTAAAGACTCGAAACTTCAGGCCGTTTTCAGTAAATTGTCGGGGGTACTTCCTAGGGCAGAAGACTTTCAAGGCAATTCTATCCCGAAAATTATGTCGTCAGATATTATCGAATCTGTCCTATCCGACACTCCCGTACCTGTTCCGACAAGTAAGTATTTTGTTATGCCACGCACCGAGCGCTCTGCTTATTTTAAATTTCCTTTACTGTTGGGTGCTTACTTATTAATTTTTTTAACGCTTAACTTGGACGTGGCCTACCTCACTGCTTCGTTTTTTTTTTGTGCGATAATGTTCGCCGGCGCGTACTAATTGAATAAAAGAAAGTGCAAAAGTCATTAAACTTTGTCGGGTTTATTTTTATTTTACAAATGGTGGGTATCGTTTTTCAACTTTCTCCAACTATTAATCAGCTCGATGCCTATTATAGATATAAAATATTTATGCAGATGTGTATTTATAGATTCATTAAATATTTATTGACGTATTGAACTACATATAATATTGCGATGTGTTCAATTTAAAAAGTTGAGGCAGGCAGGTAAGTATTTCTTTATATTTAGAAATTGTGCGCGTATTTTTATCGTTGCGTATAAATAACTTCGTGCGGAAGTGTATAATGTAGCAAAAAAAAAAAAAAAGTCAACGCTAGAAACCAAAAAATTTAAAATTTAATAAATTTTCCCCTGTAGAATTATAGAATAGGTTAATAAAGGTATCCAATAAAGTGATGACTACGCAATCAATTATAAAGGCAATGTTAGTTATCTACTTTATCTACTTTGTAGTAACAAATTAGCGCTTTATATTAAATGACGTCTTAAACGGCTAAATGAAAATTGTAGCTATGAATTACTTGCTTGCGCGAATAAATTCGAGTAGTTGCCTACGCTTAACATTTACAATGCCTTTTGTCTTCAGGAAATTGAATATCGCCATCGGTATTAGTTAGTTTATTGTAGGTATAATTGTCTTTTATTCCTACACGATAAAAATCGTTTCTATTGTTAAAAAATCAGAAAAGGTCAATTGAGATCGATTTTTCCATCCCAATTTTTTATTTTTCCACGTTCCGTATAACGCCACCGAAGTATTCCTGCAACATTTCATTACCGTCTTGTTGTATTTCACATTTTAATCGTAGAGTTGAGAGTGTTTTAGTGTTCGGCCCGGTCTGTTTCAGATAAATTAGAAAATTACTGCGATAAATTTTAATTTTGTATAAATTAGGCCCGCATTCGAGATTATTACGTTACGCCACACTAACAAATTGAATAAAAAAATTAAACCGACGCTATAAATAGCGAAGAAAACATAAACATTCCGGAATACGACGTTTGAAAATATGTTTTTGATTGTTTGCCTTCCTTATCTTCGTTCGTTAATAAAGAGCAATGATTTCTTTGTGTAGGAGGGTGGGGCAAAGCGGCCCACTTAAGCTTTTTATTTTTTTTGTTGCTTTTATCCATCAAGTCGATTAATTTTTGACTAACTTTAACTAAATTTATCCAAATTTTGTGCCCCAGGGTGGCCGTCGTGCCCCACTCACCCCTATTTATAATGTTATATATATAATAATTATAATTATTTATTTTTGATTAAAAAAAAGTTACTGATTAGTAACTATTTTTTTAACGATTAAAACTTTGTTATTGGTATTTATAATATTTTGGAAAACTCTGGCTTTAGGCTAAATCCATAAAATTATCCGAAAAATAACACTTCCAATAAATTAGTTATTCGGTTATAATAATATAGAATAGTTTTTTTTTTAGAATTTTAAGTGGTCCATTTCACCTCTGGTATTATGCAAATAACCAGAATTTATAATTATTAGAAGAAAAAACGAAAGAAAAAACTTTGGTTAATTTTTGCCCCCGCTCTCCTGTACGATTTCTTCATATCCGATACGCCATTGGAACGGTGTCTTAAATCGAAAAAATAAAATAATGTTTCCCAAAAACAGAGCATTAATCGTTTAAAAGAAGAATTTTTATTTTCATTTTAGATTATATTTATATATTTTTTTCTTATTGGATTCTTACATATTTAAAAAAAGCGTTTACACGTGATAAGTCCAGTAAAAAATAGAGAGTTTCAATATCTAAAATTCTAGCAGATATAGTAAAACTGTGAAAATGAAGTTGGTTGTCATTTAGAAGTAAAGGTTTCCCCTTCCAGGTCATTTCTACAGATAATAAATAATACATTTTCCTTTCTGTTTCTCTCCTTAGTTACTAAGGGGATATCTGAGTTTCTAATTCGGCATTTTCTATTCCTCCCCGATTGTCTAAAAAGTTAAAAGAAAACTCCATTGGTGGATCATTCAAATCCATTTTTAAGATTCGTAGCACAATTAGTAATTTATTTTTAAAAATCTTTTCACTTCCAAACTGGAAAATAAATATTTCTTGTGAATCGCTTAGAGGCTGACTGTTCAGAGTAATTTTTGAAATTTTAATTTTTCTTTTATTTTATTTTGTTTAAAAATTAATGTAGTTGTATTGCCTTTCAGGAAGCTAATTTTGATTTCAAAATGGGCCATCATAAACTATTTTTGAAGATGAAATGATTTATTTGTAATTTTAATATGGGGGTTTAGTTAAAACACGACGCGATAGCGTTCTTTCGTTAAAAACGAATAACTTTCAATTTTGACTTATTGGCAGACGTTATGACTATTCGAAAGTTGATTTATTGTATTACTAAATTTATATGGATAAAGCATTAGGAAGTTCTTATTTTACACACGTTATTTTTTTTTAATGTTTCGAAATTAAACAATTTCATCTTCGATAACAGTGGAGCACACCGTTAGTTCTCCCCTGACTGAAGATTAAGTTAAAGGTAAATTAAAAATGGTTTCGTAATATATCCTTTTATAAGATGGCGGAGAAGATCGATAGTTTTGTTTTGGCAAAAAAGTATTTATTTCATATTTGTTGATTAACCAAAAAATATATTTTCTTTATAAAAACAATAAACAGCAGTAACAAAATTATATCTATTATTTTATAATTGTATTCTGACAAACGAGTTTGCCAAAGGGATACCCCTACAACATAACGTATATTCTGCTTTTCGTTTGTCAATTTCGTGTTATTTCGAAACGTCTTCTCGGCCGTAGTATTTATAACGAAATCTTGCTCTGGATTTTCGGGCACTTCAATTCCAACAATGTGTATGGAGTGCCGGTGTAGAATTTCGATGGTTATAAAAACGCCGTAAAAATCTTTGCGTGACTGCAACGTGGAGAATTTTGATCATTTTCTCGTCTCTTTTGATATTCGCTGCTATCGTAAAACTTCTTCGACAATCTGGGTTAGCGACATAAAGAGTCCCCCCGTTCGCTACCCGTATTACTATCCCCTCCTACAAATAATCCCTTACGCACACTAGGACAATAAAATTCTTTGGCGATATTAACGCCCCGTTAAACGCTGAATTATGACCGACCCGTGGGGCTTTCTCATTAATGCCGAAAACAGATAAAGTTCAGCAACTCCCCGCAGCGTAAAGGAAATTCGCCGGGTCACCCCGCGGCGGCGGTGGTATTTGCGAAATTATTTGACGTCACGCACGTGGAAATGTTTCAACGAACATGTTTGGCTTATGTTTTATACAGGATGAAATTTTTTTAGCCTGACGCCACTTATACAAACAAACAAAAATTATTATTGCATTGAAGTCGCACAAAATAACAAATTTTGCTGCGGAAACGCGTCATTTTTATTTGGATATGGTAGGTTTCAAAAAGGTCCAGGGTAATAAAACCTAATTAGGCATATGAAAGAACTACAGAGGGACCCAACAAATACTTAAGCAATTTTAAGACTTAAAGTTGTTTGGATTTACTTTACTTTTAAAATATTTTATTATGTTACTGCTAGGATAGCGTACGTAATAGTGAACTGTATGAAAGTTATTAGATTGCAGCGTTACTCAAATAATAATAATAAAAACTCATATTTATTTCAAAGCATCCTTACATTGAAATAGTGTCATTTACATCATCGGCGTAGTTAGTGATTTTACCATTTTTACTAATCGCATACAATTCTGTAATATTAATATACGAAAGAAATAATATTGGCCCTATTATACTGGCCTGCGGTATTTTTCCTTTCTGATACTACTGGAGTTTCACCTTTGCTCATTGCTTGCTTTCTTTTTGAAAGATACGATTCCACTCACCTTAAAGCCACTCCTCTTATTCCATATAGAGTTGAATTAGCACTAAAGAAATGGTATCTACTACTAAACGACAGTAAGTTTAACAATTTTGTATAATATTTTTAAATTGTTAATTGAATTAATTTACACAAAAGTTTTTAAATTTGTTTAATGTCGAAAAATGGAACAAATTTTATCAAAAACCTTTTGAGATTTGCTGAAAATTATCCAGATAGGCAAACACCTACAAAAACACTGTTCTATCAGAACAACAGAACGTTGCATTATTTGCTATTTGTATTTTCTTCATTCTTCGGTTTGTGAAGTCTTTTTTAAAGCATATCCATAATAATGGAGAATGACTGAGTCAGGAAGCACGAAACTGACAAACGTTGATTTCCCAACTCGCAGCAAGCCAAAATGTCGTTTCTTTAGTGTTCGGTTATTTATTTTGTCACCATGTTTCCTCGTCATAGCATTTTTACAATGAAAAACGTTTTATTGCCAATATTTTGAAATTTTATTATTTAAATTGGCAACCTTATATAGAGCCACCCTTTTTTTATATGCGAAATACGAAAAAAATATAAAAATGGGGTATTTCCATTCGAAATAAATGAGTTTTAACGATTTTTTTTTATTTAAATCTGTATTGCTACTTTTTAATCACCCTGTATTTATATCATCACAAACCACTAAATAATAATAATTTAAAAATTATTTGTTCCATTTAAAATATTCACTTTTGTTTTTTTATACATTTTTAATAGATTTTGTACACAGTGTTAGTCTGTCTCTAATTATATTTTTAAATATTTTTTAGTAATTGTTCCTTTGTGCATAGAAATTAATGATTTTTTTCTACTATTATTATTTAATTTAGTTATTGTTTTGATCTCAGTAAGGAGTTTAATCACATTTCAAATTAATAGCGTGAATAATTGTGGAAAAAAATCGTACTTTCGTACTTTATCTCTT